GAAAGACATATTTGATGCTGTCTTGCAGACGCTAAGTTCTGATGTGTCTGGACAAGGATTATTGGATTCATTGGCATCCGAAATCGAGGCCTGTCGAAGTCTGGCATGTTAAGAAAAATCTTATTGCTTCGAGTTCTCTAGTTACAGACATCAGATGGAACATTTTGCCCTTGGTTTTGTTATGGCGTGCCCCACCTCGTTTGCGTTCCTCATGATGAACAACATGTATTTCATTATCTGATAAGGTGGCTACAAAGAACAGGTAATTTTATTTGAGTTGTATATTGTTTTTCAGAGTCTGGTAGAAAATATGTTTGTTGAGATTTCAAATCAAACCCCATAATGCCATTGGTTTTGCTCTCCAACCATGGCTAAATCATATGCCTGTTATTTTTACATACACATTCAAAAAAAAGTTAAAACATCATTTTTTTTATTTCTTATTTTACTTGGCTGTTAACTTTTGTTAGCTCGAGGAAACGAACCGTTGACTGATCTCTTGTACTTGTTCCAGGATTTAGGTGTTTCATATTAATTCGTGTAAGATTTTCAATTGCTCGCGTTGTTTAATAACCATTTTGTTTTTTACACTTTTGTTTAAGATTTGATTATTCATGTGTCTTATAATTTATTATATTCCATATTTGAACTAATCCAACCCAATTAATTAAAAAATTATGACCATTTGATGATGATTTAGGTTTTTATTATTTTTTTAATCAAGCATATAAATACCAATAATATTTGGTCTAGTTGTCAAATGGAGCTTTAATAATCTTTGTTTAAAGTTTCATTTCATATAATATAATATAATATGTTTGCTATTAGTTGACATCACATTATACATATCATGCGAATTTGATGCTTATGCTTGATAGTTATCCAAAGTAGCCACGAGTTTTTTTAATAAATATAAAAAATTGACAATTCTAAAGAAGACCTGAACATTACAATAAGTAGTTGTACTTACTTTAGATGATAGTTACCATTTACATAATTTCTTTTAAATTATTTTACATTTTTTTTTCTAAAAACCCAATAAATAATTTTCAACACAAACTAAATAAATTTGTTTTTTTTTTTTTTTGAAGAATAAATTATTTATTCAGAGAATTAGCTAAAATCCAACCAATAGTAAATCATTAATTTCGACACGAAAATACTCAAAATTCACAAACCAACCAAGAAAATGGTTTATTCGATAGTTATAAATTTTCAGAAACTCATAAAATTAGTTGACATAATAAATTAATTTCACCAATTCAACGAGCTGGAATTTATAAATAAAAAAATAAAAAAATAAAAAAATAAAAGAAATCCCTAATTTGTTTATGATTATTTAATTGACTTCCCGTCTTCCACCATTAAACAATACACAACGTCTTACCAACTCCAACGAAATATGAAATTTCATCAAAATTTCTGGTGAACACGAGTTTCCCTGTGAACACGCACAAAAATCACCAAACGAAGCTTCGAAGAATTAATAGAGACTTTCGATTTTCTGGTAAAAAGAATGTTTGTAAAGGAAAATCAAGAGGAAAATTCAGCCGATTCCAGCAGTCAAAACGCGCCGAAATTAAAAATCATTATCATCTTCATCTTCATTAAGAGTATGAAACTATATAAATCTATGGGATTACACACCATGCCTCCATTCTCCGATTTTCTTTCCTCAACGACTGAAGCTTGTATTAGATTTGGCCTACACGAATGGCTCCAATTAAACGCTTATTTCCAATAGCCCTAATTGCTCTTCTCTTACTCTCTGAATCTTTCCCTGTTTCGTCTGCTGATGACGACCAGGATTCGAAATCTTTGACAGGAATACTCCACCGGAATGTGCTTCATCCATTGGAGCATCAGCGATTGGATAAGGACACCGGCTCCTCTTTGGCAGAGAAGATCAGTATCAAAAGAGGAGCTCGATCTGCCGTAATTGGAGGCCATTCCAGTATATCGTCGTCGAGCCGAGTGCCGCCCTTTAATATCGCCTCTGTGATTTGTTTCGTCTTTGCATTTGCGTTTGCTTTGTTACAGTAAAAAATTTGAAGCGAAGCAATTCATTCGATTATTGCAAGGTAATTGGGAGATTGATTATACTCATAAAATAATCAGCTTCAAATTTAAATTCTCGTTCAAAACTTAGTAACATTTTATTTTATAATTAAAATTGGTTAAATAATAATAATAATAATAAAAAGAAAAGAAAATAAGACTTAAAAAGAAAACTTTTTTTTTAAAAAAAAGGTTAACTTTAAATTAATAATTAAAATGAAGAAAATCAAAGATTAAAAATAATATTTTAACCTATTTTGAATTTTTCCATGCTATATGAAAGGTTTAGATTTGAATTTTTATCCATAAATAATGTATTACAAAAATACTATGAACTTTGCTGACTATTATTTTTTAAACTAAAAAAAATTATAAATTGGAAAATATCTTAAAATTATCTTTAAAGTAAAAAATTTATTTGGGCAAGAATTAGATATTTTCATCCAATTTAATTGAATATTAGTAACGTATTTATTAATATTAAAATGATCAAAAGGCAAGGTTTCAAAATAATAATAAATAAATAAATAAACGGATAAAGGCTTATTTAAGCTAACAATTCAAAATAGTTTTACCAGAAATAACAAATAAAAAGGAAAAGGGAAAAACATTCAATCCTTTTTACTTTTTATCTAATATGTTTATTTTATGAACAAAGAAAAAGGAAAAGCTGAGGAGCTCTGGAAGGGGAAGGAAAGCAATGAGTTGTACAAATTTGTACTAAAATTAGGTTTCTTTTAATTTACTCGTAACTTCTTCCTTCCTTCAATGGAGCCCGTCATTCGCGCCAGACCAGCGCCATCCAAATTCTGTTGCTGATGGCGCCCCTTCTCCTCGCCTCTCACCCCAATTCCATTTTCGCTCACACCGATACAGGCGCTTCCAGTGTTCCCCAAGAAGTAAGGCATGGCAGCCACGTTTCGCCCTCTGCCTCGCAACACTAAGAATGCGGTTTCCGGTGAATTAGAGGAGAAATCACCCTTCGACACTTCAGGTTCCATGGCAATTCAAGGAGGCGACACCGAAGATGCCAACGCCAACGCGCTGCGCTGAATTCCGGAGGAATTATTTCGGCGGTTTCTTTGCGGAACATTTGCTTCGCGATTCTTTCATCGATTCTGCACATAGTTCTATATATCTTATATACAACTATGTTAAAATTTGTTTCAAACAACAGGCTTATAAATTTAAATTAAAATAAAATAAACTTTGCTATTTATTTAAAAATTAATTATTTCAAAAGTAATTTTTTTCTTTAAATTTTCAGACATATAAATTCTTTAAAATTTTCGAGGAAGAAAATGAAGTTATAGATGACAAGACAGTAGCTTGGATGCTTGTTTGTGTTAATTTTGAAAGAATGACATTCATAGTTTCTAAATTATTTATAAAAAGTTTAGGGATATCACAACTATTAAAACAAAAAGAAATTGAAAAATCATTGAGTAAGATTTTCATATCTGATAAGAATGTCTGTTAAACTTATATTCTATCTTTATCATAATTTGAAAAGGAAAATAGAAATTACAAAGGGAGCCCATTTTAAGCCACACAAGTTCTGAACTTTTTTTGAAAAAAAAAAAAGATTGTGAGTATATATTCCAATCCATGTATATATGTATAACCTAATTTAGTCATAGAAGATTGAACTCAAACACAAAAATTGATCCACATGAGGAAAGGGGACTGTTCATTTCCATTCTTTGACTCCATCTTCTTCCATTTTTGCCTATCTGAAACCAACAAAGCTGATGATGAACGCAAGCAGCTGAAGCAGGGGAGGCCCAGAAAATGGTAACAAATTCAACAGTTTGTTTCTAACATGCAATTGAAAAGCAGAGCTTGAGAAAGGGTTCTTGTGTTGGGTGGGGGGTTGATTTTGAGTATAACCAAATCCTTGCTTACGAAGGAAGGAAATTACATTTGACTTTCAACTACGGGTCATTGTAAGTAGCCTTGTTAGCTGCTCAAGCCACCAAACTAATCTTAGTTAATTCTTCAAATTCATAGTAAGTTTTATTAGATGACAATGAAGTTGAATATCCCTAACCATAACAATCCAGATATGAACTCGTTCAACGAACAAAGCTAGAAATAGAAGAAATAAAGTCAATTGCGTTTGATTCACATCCCTGAATTTCAACATGAAATTGAACAAACAAACAAATCACAAATGGTAGCAATTCTATTTCTAAGATTGATTGATTGAGGTATAACCTGGATGGATCAGCTTACGAACAAATACTAGGGTTTAACGGTAAAAGAAAGCGAACACACGGTACAGATCAATCACAGAGTCAAGATCCAATTCAGATAAATTACAGCACACAAATTGTGTATAGGCGAAATACCTAAAGAACCTAGGCCGGCGCATACAGAGGACGCCTATATTCATCGAAGTACTCATCGCGATCAATGAAAATGATGACATACAAAGCGTAGATAATTCCAGGAACATATCCGAGAAACGTCAAAAGAAGACATATGCAAAACTCAACCTGAACAAATAAGCAATCGGATAATCAGGATTCATTCAAGTAGAGTCAAAATCAACACGGAGGAGGAAAAGAATCAGAAACGTACAGTGCAACATCCGTGCCTGAAGCAGACGCCCAATGGAGGAATCAAGATAGCGATGAGAATCTCGCAGAATATTTCGCAGCGAGTTGCCATTTAACCAGAAAGAAGGAAAGGAAAAATGATGAAAAGAAGCGAGGAGGAAGATAGATCCAGAATGGAGAAACAAAGAAGACGACGATTTTATACGGATATAGTTTTGAAAAGGGCCGGTGGGACCCGATTCTTTCGCGGCTTACTTTCATTGGTCAGCATTGGAAGATCATTTATAGAGTGATATTTTTTTTTTTTCAAGGGACAAATCCTTGATTTATATAAATTTCATAAATTCTAAATTTAACAAAGGCTTATACAAATGTGAGACGGAGACCGATAATGTATTTCCATTTAGCTCCACGAATCTCTCCCTTTGCCGTATCGCCTTGTTTCTTCACTCTTTCTCTTCCGTTCTGATGGATTTCGGGGTCCGAGCCGTCGATAACCAGCCACTCCTTGCCGCTTCCAGTTCCGAATGCTCATCCGATCATCCGCTGCGTGGTTTGTAAGCTTAATCGAAATGTTGTATACGGAAATAATCTCTGTTTGTTCTTCAAATCTACTACAATGCTTCATTTTCGATTCAGTTACATTTTCAGTTTTCCACTAAGGTTTGGTGATCTAATGATCTAATCAGACGATTCTCCAAACGCAGAGCTCGTGAAACAGAGGATTAAAGGAAAGATAACAAATAGAGAGATTGCAAGCCGTAGAATGCTCGAGGCGGAGACTAGGATGGAGCTCATTATCGAGCAAGAACTATCGATTCTTAGGGCTACTGGCTGGACGGAGGGGTTAGCATTTGATGAGCATTTTCCCATGAGAATGTTGGATCTGAGGCTTAATCAGATTGTGGATCAGTCGTCCTCCAGAGTTTTATTAGCGGCTCCAGGTTCCTGTTCTTCGCTAAACTCGTAGCCAGTTCGTCCATTTCCGGAGCCTCAAAAGGAAGAACCGAGGCCTTTGGATGATGAAAAGAACAAGGTAATCTTTCTGTTAAGTAACAACCAACTCTTTCCTTATGTAGTTATTATTATTATTTAAAATAAGATTCGAATATTTCACTTTTTATTTAATTATATATCTCTTAATTATTCCAGCATAAGTTCTTTCTTTTTTTTAAAAAAAAATACTCATCGTTGTTATTTTTTAAAGTCTTACGTTTTAATTATTAAATTTAAAATTGAAAGTAGCATTTTTGCATCATATTTATTTTATTTTTAATAAACAAATAACATATTTGTGTGTACTATACATAGGAGGATTTGCATCCATGGGTTATTTTGTATAAGTTTATTGTCATTTTTACCATCTGAGACATATAGATCTCGGGAGCGATAAGTGAGATATTAGTGATAGAATAGTCATAACATTCTTTTATCGGATCATAAAAGCCCATTTCACGAAGGTCTTTTCCTCCTTGGTTATTAAATAAGAGGGCGTGTATGAGTTCCTGAAGAACTAGTCCCAGCCAAATCCTTCGGATTGTCTCACTCAAATTTTAAGCAAAATTTTAGCTGGGTGCTATAGCTTCTTGACTTGTTAGCGGGTTTTTTTTTTTTACCTTGTCTGACTCTAAATGATATGATCACAGCCGTAGTGAGTTATGACTCCAAATGATCTAGGCCAACGATAAATTTGGCTGTACATGTCTTCTTTGCTCTGCAACTTCTACTCCTTTTTGGAAAACTTTCAAGTCTTTATGTTTGTCCTACTGTGAGTATTTTCAATTTGGTCACATGGATCCGTTTTTTAATCACTCGTTTCTCATATGCTGCTGTATAGTTTCAAAGCTCGCAGGAATTTCCCCTCAAAGATGTGTTTTCTATTAACACACAGGGAAAAATGGCCTTCTTTTATCGACTAAGCTTGCATCGATCGATAAAGATGCACTTTTAAGGGAAAGACTTGATGGATCAAGTTCTCTCTATTTTCTAGCCCCTGCTTCACTTTCTACACAAAAAACTAGACAATAGATTGAAGGATTTGCAACTTCGATTCTTCTCGATATCTCATCAACCATTCTTTTTTAAATGTATTAACATGTACAAATACTGCTTTCCCTTCACAATAGAAGAATACAGAATCAAGGAAGGAATTACAATTAACTGTGGCTTCTAGGATGCCTGAAGCCCTTCTTCCAAATAGTAGTTCTAAGTGACACTAGAGATAAAAATGAGCTCAAACCCTTAAAGCCACCTGGTCTTGCCATGAAATCTTTCTTTTACCAGCTCGACTTGGACCTTCCCCAACAGTCCTACACGCCGAAATCTTGATATCGTTTTGCTGCTCGTCGTTCCCTCCTCGAAGAAGACTTTTCTTCAGCTCATCAGCTCTCAGTGTATCGTAATGGGTCTGCAATTCCTCTTCCTCCATCTGAACCAAAACAATGTAGAGATTGTTAGAAAGGAGAGGTGAAATTGTAGTAAAGATTACGTTTGCAGGGTTCAGCTATATCATAAAATTGTTGGCCAAATAAGTCCAAAAAATTACCGAAATTTGGTTCAAGTCAAAAAATGGAGTGATGGTTCGCTCGCTAGCATCTCTCCCACTGTACATTCTTTCCTTCTGGTTCAAGTCAAAAACTGGTGTTGAATTCTGTTGATTGGCTTTCTTCCTAGTCTTTGCCTTCTGGTTCAAGTCAAGGACAGGAATCGGAGTAGAACTCTGTGGAGGAATATCGATTCGTCTGTTGATTCTTTCCTTTTGGTTTATATCAGAGATCGTCGGGAGGGGTTGCAACGCAGGTCTTCTTCTCGAACCATTCTTCCCCTTCTTAGTATTGTTAGCCACTTGTTTGTGCTTCTGCTGTACTGGATTTCCATTTGAATGGTCGTTTGGCAACTGGTTCTTCATTAAGTACTCGTATCTCTTCCTCAAGAACCTTCAATAGAAACGTAGACTCATAGTTAGTTCTGGGCAATTCAGTTACTCCTGATGAAGATCCACACAAATACAACGTAATTATGTAAAGATTGTACCGGACTTCTGCCATCAGGGTCATCTTCTTTTGCTTCATCATCTGTAATTTCCTCTTAGCAGTTTCTGTTTCCTGGAAGAACAAAAGAAAAAGTCCTTTCAATTGTTTGTTCATCCATAACATTCCCGAGTCTTAAACTGATCTATCCAGCACAAACTCAGAACATGGGGTGGCAGACTTTTACATAACCAGAATCAAATTTCTCTCGAAATTTCACAAAAGTGAAGATAACAACTAGTCCAAGTATTAGACTTACGTGAAACAAAACCACAATAGAACACCACACAAATAAGATCAGGTGTTCAAGAACATGTACTTATAAAGTAGTGAGGAAACTACTAGACTCGACTCTACAAGGTAATCAATGGTAGGTTAGAATGATCCAAAGTTCATTGATTGGTAATTACTTAAAGAAGATATCACTAGAGGAGGTCATGACAGTTTTAAGGGTATCAATCTCTCAGAACCAAGAAAATAAACAAATGGAAGCAAACCTAAAGCATAAATTTCCCAGATAGGAAGAAAATTATAGATGAACTTCCCTCTTAAGCCTAGAGATAGGTATTTTAAATTTCAACAAAGAATTGACAGAACTTTTATCTCATATTATTGTTTGAGCAACCAAATCGAGAGTTTTAACCAAAGGAAATAGCCAGTTTAGACGCAAAGAAGAATTAGCCTAGCCCAGAAAACCAAAAAAAAAAAAAAAAACTAAAATTTTCACGATCGATAACTCCTAGATCAAACCATATTCCCCTCTTCCAGACCAGAAATTCCATTCAAAACAGAAAGAAACCAAATCTCACAATAAATCAATTTCGGAGAAAAAGATCTGAAGAAAACAATCAAACCCCATATGAAAAAAAGAAAAGGAAGATCTGGTAGAAACAACAAAGAAATCCCGAAATCCGCATAAGCAGAAAACAAAAATTACCTTCTCCAATTCGTGATAATCTTGGAGGAGAGTCTGATGCTTGAATCTGATCTTGGAATCGTCAAACACAGAAGGGTGTTGGGAGGCAGCCCCTTTCATCTTCTTCATAGATGGGAAGGAAGAAAAATGAGAAACCCAGAAGGGGAAAGAGGCGGAAAGAAAGGAAAGTTAGATGTGGGAAAGAGATGGGTAATGAAGAAGAAAGATGAGGAGGTGGGGGAAGAAGAAAAAACGAGAAAGTGGGTGAAGAGGCAAAGGACAAAGAAGAAGAAAGAGAAATGGATGGGAAAAGAGAATTGGAAATGGAATTGGAATTGAGAAGGAAGAGGGGGGGTAGGGGGGGGTGAAGGTTCTTGGTTTCCTGTTTTCTCTGTGAAGCTCTGACCGAGCCAACAACTAAAACCCAAAAAAGCCCACATAACTCGGTGAAAAATATTGTTGTGTTTCTTCAGAGAGAGTGATGAAGATGGGGATTTTTTGGGGGTTGCAGAAGGGCAATTGAGGGAAGAGCGAGGCATTTTTAATGCGAGTTTGTGTGTTTCTTTGTGAGGTGGGGGTTTGGTTAGAAGAAGACATATCTATCCATCTCTTCGCTTTCTTTTCCTTCCACCAACGCTCTCTTTCTTTCTTTCTTTCGTTCTTTCTTTCTTTCTTTCTTTCTTTCTTTCCTTCCTTCTTTCCTTCTTTCCTTCTTTCCTTCCTTTTTGTTTTTCTTCTCCTCTCCATAAATTTTGGTCCACCTGGGTCATTAAAGGGTATCAAGATAGAGAGAAATGGGTGGTAATGGTAAAGTAAAGACTCTTCCTTTTCATTCATGGGGTGCGCTGCGTGGAGTTTCTCTGTTTCTTCCCCCACCCCTTTGATTTTCTCTGCAATGACAGATCAATCTAGACTTCTAGAGAGAGAGAGAGAGAGAGAGAGAGGGGCTGGTTTTGTTGAAACGGAAGGGTACCTTAGTTCATAGGGCTTTTTTTTTTTGCTGTGTTGGGGGTGGGGGCAGGACCAGCCACCAGGGACTAACCACCGCTGTTTGCCTGTGTGTTGCTGCTGCGCTGCTGCTTTCTTTCATCATCATAACCTTTTTTTTTTTTTTTTTTCTGCACATTCAGGAATCAGAAACCAAGAAAAGGAAGCTGCTTTTACCCATTTCCCATTATTATTATTTTTCTTCTTCTTAAAACAACAGGTCAATGTATGTGAAACTACTAAAATACCCCTACTGCTCTGCCCTTTTCTTCTTCTAACCTTTTAACCCTTCGACTCAAAGTCTCAAACCTAGTGGCGAAAAAGACCAAGTTGCCCCCAAAGTGCATCTGGTTTGGTATGGGGGGTAGAGTGGTAAATTCAAGAGAGAATGCCTACCCTTCCTTTTTCCCATCCAATGAAATGAATGGGAATGGTGACGGTTTTGTTTGAAGGAGATTAGCACTGAAACCCCCATTTTCTTCTCTAATTTGGTTCCAAAACCCATTCTACCTATTTTTCACTATGATCATTTTGTTCCTCCTTTTTAAATTATGCCTTTAAGATCAATTTGAAGTGACCCATAAATTTAGTTCTTTTTTCACCCATTTTTGTATGCTTTTTTAGAAAAATATTTCAATAAAAGCATTCACAAAGGATTAAAAGTTATATCCTTAATGGATATGGTCTGGACAAGTTGGTATGACATGCAAATAGTTAAATGCATTAATAAGCACATCACATCACATCAAATGCTATTAACCACTTAATAGCATTTGATCAAAACTTTTAGCTTTTAACAATTTAACTAAATACTGCTCTAAAACTTAAAATTAGTCAAATTCTATTGTTCTTTGAAAAATGCTATTTTTTCTTCATATGATGTCTAAACTCAACTAATTGCTCATCGACAAAACTCCATTTCTTGTTCATATGATATCCAAGTTGAAAGCCTACCTGTCTACCTATTAAAACTATAATGTAAGGCCAGCGCAACTTTATATTAATAAATTTAACATATTTCTTAATGAAAATATCTAATAAAAGTAAAATAAACTACATCATTAGTAGATTCGAGAATAATAATAATAATAAAAAAAAAAACAAACAAACAAAATTGAGAAATAATTACAAAACCAGTCATGGTTTGGTATTTATGAGAGATGATTATAAATTACCTAACATAGCCTTGATATTTGGTCTGGTTTACAGACACTGAAAGAAGGGTAATGAAGAAAAGCTGCCTTACTGATAAGGCTTGGTTTCTCTCTGTTTTTGGCTTTCTTTTACTGAAGGAAAAGTTAGAGAAAACTGTAAGTTTCTTTTTAGTTCAATGGAAGAATTCCAAGGGATAGAAACCCGTACTTTAATCCGTTAAGCTATGCACATGTTAACCGCTCTAATTTGATTGCGAGTATTCAACGTGAATTCAAGCTTGTATAACTCTACCTTGAACCTAACAAGATTTGCAATTTTTTATTTTTTGAATGCTTTTTTTGTTCTTCTTTTAAAATGTTCTTAAAGAAACTGGTACACGAGAGGTGCGTGATTAAACCGAGCCCACATACGAATGAGAGAGATCTTGAATATTGGATTACTAAGAAAACATAAAAAAAATTGAAAGTTACTACCTATAGACACATTTTTTTTTAGTAACTCAATTATAAAAACTTCATAATTAAGCATATTTTACCTCTAGCAATTATATATTGGGTGATCTCTTTGAATTTTTCTATAACTCGTGCAAGTGAGGACCTAGAAGCGTATTCATTTGTGTATATAGTTTTCGCTCTTAAAAGTTAAAAGTAAGTAACAAAATTATGTAGCTAAGAATGCAAGACGATTAAATTTCAAATTTAAATTTCGAATCCCGAACATAAATCTTTACCCAAAGAAAAAAAATTATGTTTAATTGATAAAATATAGGTTTGATAAGAAATCTAATGAGACTTTAAAGGAAAACCACATTAGAGCTACTTTTTTATAATTTAGCCACCAAAGAAAAATTATATTTTATATTATATCAAAAACACGTGGAATTTGTTCATTGGTCTGTCTTCACGAAATATATGCAGCAGGTGATGTTTGGGGCTTTTGGGCGTGGTTCTCCGAGGCGAAAATCTACTTTTATAGTTTATCCTCTCGAGTTTCTCCTCGGCACATTCACAGCTTTGGGCAATGGCATCGACAATTTCAATCAGTGCTCAAGTGCCAAATCTGCGAGGAATTTCTGATTGGAAAAAACGAAGTTAGTACACCATTTGAACCTTTTCATTTTCTTTTGGTTGCTTAGACAGTAGGAAATTGAGGACTATATTTGAGATTGATTGTTATGTCTCTGAATAGAAGTGGTTGTTTGGAACTTGGATCTGTATTGTATGTTACGTAGCTATCTCACGACCACTCAATCAAACGGAGGGATCTAAGTTGGTGCGGTTGGTTGGTATGGCGTAGTTCATTGGGAAGATCTACCGTTCGCATGAAGTTTAGACCTAAAATAAGCTATCTGATGGTGTCCTCAGTGCATATTATTGAATGGGTTTGGCTCATTTCTTATTAGGAATTATTGTTTGCTTTGTAAAATCAAAATAAATGTGTGATTGATGAATGGGAGATTCGATTCACATGAACTTGATGGCAGATGCGTTATGTTTACAGTTTTGTATAAAGATTATGAAAGAAAAAGGCTGTGGTCTGGAAAATTAACGTAAAAACTGTTTAATAGGTTTGGATAAGCATCAAAACTCTTTAGCACCAGGTTCAACTGCAAGATTATCCACCTTAAAAACTGTTCATAGAAAACGAATTGCATGAACCGGTGAGTTGTAGCCTATAGACTGAAGCCGGTTGCATATCTGATAATGTGAATGTCAGAATTGAATAAATCCCGTCTACTTCATTATAACTCTTAACAAACTAGATATTAACGTTGTATGACTTAGAATTTAGTGGTTTGATTTTTATAATTTCGAATATAATACTTTGGGCAATAGAAATTTGTGTGCAGCTGCAAAGTCCTCGTTTATTTCCAAATTTTCATTCTGAAATTGTAGATTAAGTCCACTTTTTGAGACATTTGATTGTACACATTACCTATTAATATATAATTTATCCTTTTCTGGCTGCCTCTTACAGGTAACCTTAATTCAATGTCAAAAATAATTGGCACGCGGATCTCACCTTATGGTCCTTGGAAAGTTGAGAAAAATAATAGATCTCTTTGTGTTTGTGGCCTATTTGGAGGGAAAAAGGAGAATGAGGAGAAGAGCGATGATGCACCTTCAAAGGTAGAATTTTGTTTTGCAATATGATTAGACAGTATAAGTTTTGATACCATGCACAATAAAATTGTCATTTCAGTAATTTAGAGACCAAATATAAATGTCTCTCAAAGTTGAGGGACTGTAAGTGACTTTTCCTTGATAGCCAAGTGAGACTATCGTTTCTTTCATGCCAACTTTTTGTAGGCAGGAATCTTTGGAAACATGCAGAAGTTATATGAGACTGTGAGGACAGCGCAACAGGTTGTCCAAGTAGAGGCAGTGCGCGTACAAAAGGAACTTGCGGTGTATGACTAAGCAAGCTAAATAGATGTATTGTCACTTGAAGATGTTTCTCTGTTTTATGAAGTTTGAACTTTTTTTCTTTCTATGTTTCTGTTCTACAGGGCAGAGTTTGATGGCTACTGCGAAGGAGAGCTAATAAAGGTATGTTCAGCCTTTCTCTTTTGCATCAAGTTCATTTTCACTTTGCCCATAACTATGGGATTATAATGGTTGTTTGTGAAGTGAACGTGTGTTAGAATTTTGCTTAAGATTGTAAAATACTTTTCACCTCTTGATTTAGGTGGCTGGTAATTAGTAAATAAGTACAGATACCTGATACTTGTTTTTATTAATATTGCGTTTGTTGTAGGTGTTACTTAGAGGGAGAGACAGGTCTTGAGTTTGTGATTACCAATTTTTCTTTCTTGTTTTGTGATTACCAATATTCAACCTGGTCGATGTGGACTTAAAATCTCTTGGGGCCATCTCCCTCAGATATTAATTGTTATAAAATATGTGTAGGATCAATTGATAGTTCCAGCGTTGATCCCCATGGACATAGAAAGTGAAGTAATTTTTTTTTTTCTTGATAAGAAAAGTTTAGGGAATTTCAAAAGAGAGAATAATGATTTATGAAAATAATCAAAGAAGTATTGAGCTCGGGACAAAAGGTTATGGGTTTGACAATTGGGTTCATGCGAGGCTGGACATGGCCTTTTCATTTAATGAGAATTATGATGCTAAAGAATGGGATCATATCATGTTTCCATGTCACATCATATCTGCTTTCATATTTTTTGTCAACTAATTTAGGTGACATTATCCGGAAATCAGCAACCTCTTCGTACAGAGATCACTGAGGCTGCAATGAAATTAGGACCAGAAGTGAGTATGCACAATGATGTGATGCACTCTAACATTTGAAATTGCATTGCTCGCAATAGAATTCTTATATTGAACTTATATTTACATCCTCAAGTCACACCTTAATGCTGCACTACCTGTCCTGTCCTCAATCTAAGCTTGGAGATATCTTCTTCAATGTTTGTGCCTAGTGGAATCATGACTAACACATCATGAATTTGAAAATTGGCTGGCATATAGGACTAGGGTCCGCCTGCTTTGGAACATGTCTCAAAAATAAATTGACAACCATCATTATATTTAAGAATATAGTTGGCAGTAACATTGTAAAAATTGTGTGCTAGGATTTTTCTTTTGTTGTTGTAGAGTAAGAAACCACACTTTCACAGAGAAATTAAAGAATATTTGGAGTATATCCTCTTCAATGTTTGTCCTGTGGAATCATGACTAACACCTCATGAGTTTGAAACTTGGCTGGCCTATAGGACTAGGGTCCGCTTGCTTTGAAACATGGCTAAAAAATAAGTTGACAACCATAATTATATTTAAGAATATTGTTGACAGTAACATTGTAAAAATTGTGCTAGGATTTTTTTTTTTTTTTTTTTTTTTGTTGGGTAAGAAACCATGCATTCATTGAGAGAAATTAAAGAATATTTATGGACGTATAAATAAACAGGCCCCAACGAAAAGAACTTGACCTTAACCAAATAAATAACTCCAAAAGTTTTATTATTCCTTTCTATTCAAATATCCCACAAACTTGCAAAGAAACTAGAATGCCACAAAAAAATTTCCCTTCTTTCTAAAAGGAGAAATTAGAAGTACCTCCTCCAACCAAGCCTATCCCGAGCCAATTAACACCACTTAAGATTTGTTCCAATAGTAATTAAGATTTCTGATTGTTGTGGTTAATTATGGATATTCCAATTATTTAGAGCTTTACTTTCTTATGCAGAAATTGTCCCTTCTAGTTACTGAAGCATATCAGGACGCACATCAGAAGAGCGTTCAGGTAAGACTTGTTCCTTTGTAATTTAGTTTCCAAGTTTTGTATCTGTAGAACTGACTGTTGGTCCTCTGATTCTCAGGCCATGAAGCAAAGAATGAGTGATCTTGCCCAGAGTTTGGGTATGCCACAAGGCCTCAGTGAGGGATTGAAGTGAACCTTTTATGTCTGTCGAGCTTCAGTTTTGTAAATGCAGCGGCAGTGGGACTACGTAATTGTAATTTGACCTTGGCAGGAAATTCCATATCAGTTTTTACTGGTGAACTAAATGTTTGGGAACCTTGTTCTCCATCTTTAGATGTATAAAAAAAGAAAAACAGCTATGATATTTGTTGTGGAATCAGAACAAAGAATCAAAAGAATGAAATGAAAATGAGATTTCAAATTGGAATCTACTTTAGAAGCGATATTGACTATCGTTTCGGTTTGTTGAAAGGAAAAGATGTTTGACAATATGTGGACATCTGATTTCTTGAAAAGAAAAAGCTTTAAACTTCTACCTGACATAAGGTAATCAATCACCAACAAACGTTAGTAAAATAATCTTCAACCTTGTCATCTGCGTAGTTGAAATGGGTGATAACATTGGCATGGTCTATCCAATATTAATTGTAGAATGAATACAATTCTAGCTCACTCTCAGCACTGTTCTGTACTGGAATTATGGTAATTAATGACAGGTATCTAGAAACGAGACACTAACGAACAGTTTCTTGTCTCTGTTCATTGATCTGTTTCTTTGCATGTAAATCAATATTTTGGCAATTGTTTTCCTGATAGAAACGCTCTGAAAAGTGTCAAAGCTCTCTGTGGTTGGATCAATGGAACCTCATGTCCAGCTCCTCTCACTGTGGCAAAGGTCAGCCCTTCATAAACCTCTGTCCGTCCACCGACCTGCCATGTCCATTTCATTTTGTTTAAAGCATTTCATTCAAACGAAGAACAAAAAGGGCAGAGTTTTCATATGTAACCTGTCCTCTAGAATACCATGGATACCAGCGAGTTTTAATAGGAAGGTTGAGATGGTTGAGGGCGAATCTGGTGGCTGTCACTGGTACCACCGAATCTGTATCTCCACTGCATTTTTTCACATGTAAAGGTCACATGACATAGAATAAGTTTAACCTCTCTTTTACTTGGGGACTTCAAAACTAACCTAAAAACCCATATCCTGAGACCAGCTGCAATCAGCTCCTTGTATGTGAGCAACATGGATTCTTGGGAATCCTTCCAGTTCTTAAGTAGAATGTCGCTGCCACCCAAAAAAGAAAAGCAAAACCTTATTAGGTGGAAGAGTTATGTTATAAGATTTGGCCAAGTAACAGAGAAAGCTAGCAAAAACCCACCTACAAGCAGTCCATTTGTAGGGAATTCCAGTAACATTGGCATGCATAGCCATCTGAACCTCTTTTTGATTATAGTACTTTTCTGCATAATTCTCGGTACATGGATCGTACCCTGACACCCTCCGCCTCAGAAGAGAGTTTTTGAATCTAATAGCGGCCCCCCTTGCTGGAGAAACCGTGTTGTTTGGAACCACGACGGGGCATTTCGGAGTGTAGATACTGTACTGATCAACATTGCCAAACTCATGGTTCATGGCATAGCTAATGACATTGTCGCATGGTTTGGAAGTCTTGTCTGAGGTGAAATTACAATGCGTGAGGATGGAGTTGTATGTTGTATCTGATATCATAGCATGTGTCCACCAATACGTCACCGTCCCGAGAGCATCATAGTTCATATCTGTTACTGCATTCCCCACCTGCCATTTTCAAAACTTGTTACAATTCACTTCTTTCTTATAATACTTGGAATAACTCATGTTCTACAATTTTCTGTTCTTACGAGGAAGCCTTTGAGGTTGATGAAGTTGTTAGAGTTGGCTTTGTTGTAGTCAAGAATCCTCTTTGCTAGCTGTGGGACGTAGTGTCCTATAGAAATGGAATCACGTCAAGAATAATATACATACTTTTCAGCTATTCGAAAACATGGACAGAATAGATTTACCGGCGTAACTCTCCCCTGAAATGTAGAATTCTCTATATTTGTATTGTGGGAATCTCGACATCCATCCGACGAGGAAAATAAGAGCATCCTCAGCAGTTCGGTTGTCACCGGTGTCTTCGAGGTTGGAGGAGGTGTTTGTGTAGGAGAATCCAACTCCGGCAGGTGATTCCAGAAACAGCAGATTTGCATCTGGAAATAAAATGGTGTCTTTGTGATGAGATCTTGATTAAAAGAGAGGAATTAGAGAAGAAAGTGTGTATGTAATGACCTTTGTTCCATGAGTATTTGTTAAGGTAAAGAGAAGAAGCAGTTTTGTCAATTCTGAATGGTCCAATTTCCTCGGAGGCTCCATATGCCACTGATGAACAACCGGGCCCTATATACAACTAACTCTTGTCAACTTTAAAGTTCGTATATACTATTGATTAAGAGATCAGAAATTTGAATTCTTCCAACCAATTGTTATTAAACTCACCGAGTTCAGTGATCAAATAGTAAAAGAGAAACCATGTTGAAAAGTTCAAATAGCAACACGTGAAGACATTTGACCTATGATTCCAAAAAGAAAAGCCAAAAAAGAAAAGGAAAAAAAGGTTTGAAAATCCCAAAAAATGACATGATGAGCAGCACACAGAGAATAAGTGCAGAGAAGATAGGAAAAAGAAGCATGATAGAGAAAGGGTGAGGGAAAGAAGCATATTATATTTAGGCGTAGAAACAAAAGAGGCAAAACAGATCCATGAGAGAGAGAGAGAGAGAGAGAGAGAGAAACAGAGTAAGTAAACAAAAACAGAAGTGCTGATTTCGACCTTTTTGTTGTTGAGTGAGTCTGATGTTTTCAAGAACCTAACCTTTTTCCATTCCAAATCCTCACAACACAAAACCAAGTGGCCTACCCAGATTCATTCCCACTTCTATCTCTACGCATGCTCCATAATTTTTCTTCTTTTTTTTTTTTTTTTTTTTTTTTTTTTTTTTTTTTTTTTTTTTTTTTTTTTTTTTTTTTTTTTTTTTT